ACAACAACAACAACAACAACAACAAGGACATGTGACATGAGATTGTGACAAGGGCGACGCTGATACTGACCGGAGTCACCAGAGTTGGGGCGAGGTCGACGTTCTAGTATTCCAGTACCTCTCAAATTCAATCAATGTGTGTGTTACTATCATAGCCCACCCTAAAAAGCATTTGCTGTTGCTGGCTAGACCGCTGTGTTGGCTATGCTGGTATGCTAGCTGCTACAATCTTCACTTTGCATTTTTTATTTTGATGTCGCTGAACCCAACGCACAAACGGCAGGTTGCACCGCAGCTCTGACGCTTGGGACCTGAAAGAGGAATGGTCCGAGATCGCCGATGGCAAGAGGGCATACCGGCTCACCGAAGTGTTTTTGAACAAAGATGGCAAGAAGACAGTGTCAGACATCGAGTCCCTCATGCATCGCAACTACGCAGATGTTTTGCCACTGGCCATGTTGACAGAAAGCGCCTTGGGCGATTCATTCCGAATGCTCTCCCGAGCTGCAGCTTCAGTGCACCATTATTCATGCAGGAGGCATGAGGCATACCCATATCGTCTTTTTGGATTGCTGCACGCAGTCGACCAATCAGAAGATGCAGCAAAGGCTTTTGCTCACAAGGTCTTTGCAGATTTCCACCAAAGAAAATGCTGCTTGTGCGCCTTCACTCTTTGGTTTCTGGAAACCTACCCTGACGAGGAGGCTTTGTTGAGCGCACAAGCAATACAGGAACTCCGCGCAGTCGCTGTTCAGACTTCAACAGATATTGCAGCCACAGAATGCGCGCATGCCGCAAACAGGAGAAGTATCAAAGCCAAAAGCCTACAAACCCACTCCACTCCAGTCAGGGACGCATCAGCTTTGTTTGTCTCAAGGTCCCTTCGCAATACTTGTGCTTTTGGCTTTGAAGGTTTGGGGGCTCAAATCCCAGGAGTCCTTGTCAAGCGGCCCAAGACTGGGCCTGAGACTGACTCTGCCCTTGGTCTAAGTCTAAGTCCTCACTGCCATCCAGCACTCAGAACTCGTGGAAGACGAAGCAGTGGGCCACTTAAAAAACAGAAGAAAACTCAGTCCAGTCACTACTTGAAGCATCGCGCCAAGAACAAGCCATTGGTCCGTGGTGGTGGTGCTTGGGCAGTATTTTTGAGCGAGAACCCAGCACTGCCCCCTACAACTGAACAAGGAAAACACGAACGAAAAGCCTTGAGCAAGAAGTACAAGAACTTGGATGAGACACAACTGGAACGGCTCGGAAAATTGGCCACTACTGCCACTCAAGTTCAAAGGTTTGGTGGCAAGCGTGTGGTCAGCAAAATGAGGAGAACATCAATGACTGGCTTTCGACACCATGCTCGTCGGTGGTTTGGCAGTTCCAAAGCCATAGGTGATCAGCCTCCCCTACCTGCCCTACCTTTAGCAGATGACCAAATGGGATCATCAGCAACAGCTTCAAGTTCATCTTCAGCCTCTTCAGCCCTGCAGGTACAACCGCAGACTCAAGATGGAGACCACCTTGAGGTTTTGATCAAAACAGAGCGACTGAATCAAGCTCAGCTGAGCCTTGGGCCTTGGGTTTGATGTCAGACTTATGACTTAAGACTTATGATTCGATCTCACCTGAGATTTGGTTTTCCCCCTGTCAGTTTGTTTTTACTTGGTTCATCTCAGGAGCGCTGCTTCTGGACGCAGAGAAAAGGCCTTGATGGAAAACTTGAGCAATGTACAACTTCCATCTGTGCCTTCTCTGGCCTCGGCGCTTGGAGCTCTGCAAACATCAGAGCTCCTGACAAAATTGGAGAAGGTCTCTGATGGCATTGATGCCTTGGCCCTGCCAGCCGATGATTCGCAAGACAGGGTTCCATTAGTGGTGTCTCCAAGTGTTCGAGGGAGTCATGGGCCTCTGGCATTGGACATGGGGAGTGCTTGCACTGTAGCTTCTTGCAAAAGAGTGGTGCAAAGATGTGAAGCCGACAACCCAGTTGGACCTTTGGCTGATTTGGATTCTATTTGGGAGGCGCGACATCACATCGTAGCGCAGGGCTTGGAAGTGGCAAAGCAAGACAAGGACAAGGCACCACAGCGACGGCCATGTAGATTACTGAGTCTGTATGCGCTTGAGGATGAACCAAGCCCAAGCAAAACAGAAGCAGGAACGGCAACAAGAAGCTCAGCGTCTTTGCAAATCCAACATGTTCAGCATCGATCTCCAGCAGCAAGCAGCGCCCGGCACAAACGGTGCTGCCAGTTGGGGATGCCTGTGTGCCGCTTACCCATTGATAAATTTCGATTGAAGATGACAGCTGCTGTGAAGGCGATATGCAGTGTGCCCAGAGGTAGCGGTAGGGACGGCGCCTTTGAGAAGACCAACAAGGATCTCCTGATTGCTGGCAAGTTCTTTTTCTTTCTTGCTGGGCGCAAGGTGCAGATGCAGCTTGATGACCTTGCAGTGCCCATAGAAAAGGGAGGAGAGACTCACCAATCCCTTTGCTTTCACATTTCCCATGTGATTGGAGGCCTACAGCAATTCTTTCCCATAGTTCTGCTTTGCAGCGCGACTCCCGATCCAGAAAGGACAATGCCTGACCATGATGAGCGATTTCCAGAAGCAATCAATGTGAAGTCCAGGGGTAAGTGGCTGGACTATTACCAAATGCTTGAGATGATGGATATCGAGTGGGAGTGGGTCCTATGCATCTATGAGCTGTCTCAGAGCTCCAAGCGCATTGCGGATTTCATTCCATCTTCAGTGCACGCTACGCGGAAACTGGCTCCATATGTAATTTGGCATAGGTTGTCATACTACAAACCTCGAAGGCAAACACGTGGTCCTGGTCCTGGTCCAATCTCAGGGCCCCTGCGAAGACAACAGCCACAGCAAGCTCTCCGAGGCCCTGCATCCAGATTGGAAAAATTGATGGATGATTATTCGAAGCTTGTGTGAACTCACTGCACCGTATTTCTGGTTTGTTTTTGATTTATATTGATATCTTAAATACAACTACAATAATTACAATGACAATATAATTGTATTCATACATACATATGTAGTAAAGCAACTGGCATCGTAACAGACCATTGCAGGCCTCCAGGCACCAGGTCCAGGTGGCCAAGGTCCACAGCCACAGTGGTAGCTGGTAGCTGCTAGCTGCTAGTTTCTCTTTAATGGTTTTTTGCAAAGTATTTGACCTGTACCTGAGGAGTTTGGCAGCCATCGACGGTTCTCGAGAAAGTCCTGATGTGGCGCCGGATGAGCCAAGCCTGAACCTTGACAGCGACCACGATCGTGACCGAGAGGAAGATCAGAATTTGTGGGAGGATGAAAACAGAAACAGTGGTGACGAGGATGACAGCGAAGGTGAACGATGGGAAAGCATCTTGCAAGAACTAGGTGCTGACATGCATGACGATGACCTAGACCTAGACGTAGACCTAGACCTACAGCCAGATGATGATCCCCCAGCAGCTGAGACTGAGCAGC